TTGGGGAGAGATGTTGATTTATTGATTTATTATGTGATTAATAAATTGTAATAAATGATCTGTTAATACATATTATGTGATTAATACATTAACTAGAAATATTATTATTTAATTAAGAATTAATCAGAAATTAACTAGAATTAATTTTGGGATTAATTGATTTAATTAAAAGTGGAAGGACTTAAGTTTTAATTGTTTAATAGTTGAACAAGAGGGAATTCCAGAACCTTCCAAGGTTTTGACGGTTTTGGAGGATTCAAAAGGGGATCCAGAATATTCCTTTACGATAAATAGGAAACTAGATAAATACTAGATTTGAAATAATATTATTGTATGTCAAATGAGGGTTTCTTGGGATTTCCTATCAGCTAAAAATAGGGGCCTTAGGACTCATTATTTTCATCTACTTCATAGCTAAAGGAAGAGCCGAAATTTTTCCTCCTGTACTCCTCTCTCATTTTGTCTTCTAGTTGCTAGGGTTTGGGTACAAGCCATTAAAGGAACTAAGCTTTTAGTGCTTGCTTTCAGAAGAACTAAAGGAAATGATTCAAGATTTATTTGCTATAATAAATCTAAAGGTATGTAAACCATAATCCCTTTAGTATTTTCGAAATACCTAGGGTTTCTTAGGGTTCTTGATATTCAGTTTTTATTGCTATCAATTATAGAAAACATAGATCTTTTATAAGTTTCATGTGAACTTAAGGGTTAGGTTTTTGCTTCATATGTATTTTAATAGCCTATAAAACCCATCAGAAACAATGTAACAACAATAAATTGTAATTAATTTTCATGATTAAATAATAAAAGTTTGTTTATGAGTTAGTGAACTACCATCTTCAATTTTTTATTACTGTGTTTCATTTTTTGCATGTTTAGAATCCACTTCCGAAGTATTAATTTACTTAATATCTCCACAATTAGGCATGATCTTGGGAGTAAGTAGTGATTTACAACTGTAATGGAGTGTTAATAAACTGTCTATGGTGATTAGACATATCATAGAGATTGCGGCTAACACTCGTGAGTACTTAAATATAGATTTGAAGTATTTGAAAACCATCACTCAAATATTACTTCATGGATACAATCATGAGTAATTCTAAGATGATAATATCTTATAATCTTCAGTCAAAGATGCATGAGTTGTAATTCACAATTATGTTATGCATTGGTCTTACATAAACACAAATGTAAACGGTTTTTATAAAATGTATGTCCATGTATGACATGATGTTGACATTATAGTGTTGGGCCCAGCTGGACTGGATTGATGTGTTTAATTTTGTAAGTCTAGTAAGGTCATCCTAAATCAGAAATCAGGAAACATAATCTGGGGCTATGAGATTCATTCATATCCATGTCTCGTGTCCATACAATATATTGTAGAACGAAGGAATAATTGATCACTTAGCTAAAGTTTGTCTCTAAGAGTATGATTCAGAATTCGACAATTGCTAAGGAAGCACATTTTACTGATCAAGTGGGGGCCTTGTCACCAATTGTAGTTGATGACTAGTCTAAGTGGAAAATTGTTTGAATAATATCCAATGTTATAACTAAATTGGTAAGACTATCCAATAATAGCAGGTTCCTTTTTGGGTTACCTTCAATGAACCAAATAGTATTTTAATGTTACAAAAAAGATGTAAATAATTTATTAATTATTTGTGTGATGATTAATTAATTATAAACTAGTTTGGAATTAAATATATTTAATTAGAATTAATCTGGAATTAATTTGTGCTAATTAAAGTGTCGGGACTGAATGTTAAATATTTAATAGTTGAATAGATGGAACATTCTGGAACCCTTGGGATAGGGTGAAAGAAATTTGCTAGGATCTATCCCTAGAAATTTCGTCCATAGCATAGACAAAGGAAATGATTTTAATTTGGATTAAATTGGATTATATAATTATTCAAATATCTTTATCTAAAAGCAACCAGAAGTTATAAATACCCCTCCCATGCACCTCATTATTTTTGACTCACTTTCAAGGATTCTTAGAGTTTATCTTCTCTCTTTAAATCCTTGGTCAATATCTATTGTTCCAAGGGTCATTTTATTATATCAAATTGTTTGATATTATTGTGTGTGAAACATTAGAAGTTACTTACTTTCGTTACTCTTCCTTGGCTTATTGACGAATTCGAAATCTACATTAAAGGTCATCAAGAAAATGTGTTTTGCTAAAGGTTAGTAAAATTCTATCCCACTTGTAGATGTTCATATCAGTTAAGTTAAGAACCTTGTAGGTTTTCGCTTTTGCTTGCCTTAAACTAAATCAGTACGTTTACGCTGCCATGATAATTAGTATAGGAAGTATATTGAAAACCTAAGACGATGGTTGTGGAAAATGGTGGTAGATGGTGGCGTTTAGGGTTTTCCTTAGAGGGAGACAGAGAGATGGATAATGGTTGAGAGAGAGAGAGAGAGAGAGAGAGAGAGAGAGAGTACAATGGAGAAATTTAGCAGAAAGCTGTCAGATATAAGGGAAGACGACCATAGGTTTTTTCTCTTTTTAAGTTTATTTAGTCAAAAGATAAGGGTGAGTTTATTGGTATCTCTTTTATTGCTAGTTCCATCCCCTAATTTGATATATATTTTTCATTTGTTGTGTTTGTTGCTTATGTTTTTTTTCTGTCTTTTATTATTATTATTATTATTATTATTATTATTATTATTATTTGTTAGAGTTGTTGTATTTATTATTATTATTATTATTATTATTATTATTATTATTATTATTATTAGAGGAAATTACACAAATGGTCCATGTAGTTTGTGGTAGTCTACGGATTTGAACTCACATTTTTTTTAACTCAGACCGTTTGTATGCAATGATTCTTTTTCGGTAATTTAATCATAGAGCACATCATATCTTTTATTGATGCGTTGTCGGAGGTCCGACAAATCCATCATCTATACCTTATATCGTTGTCTATAACTCTTACATGTGCCTACCAAACCTTATTGAATCTTGGTAAAAATTATAAACAACGAATAAAACAAAAAAAATTAATCAATCGTTCATAAATATTGAATTGAGGGTTATAGATTTTATAACTACAAGAAACAAAAATGACAATCATAAAGGAAAAACGATTTACCTCTTGAAGACAATGAGATAGATATCTCCAACAACCCCCACCCCTAAATCAATTTTAATTCGAAAAAAATTATGAAAAAAATCTCTCGTCATAAACATTTGTATGCTTAGCAAATATCTATATAATGACCATTCTGAATAAGAGCGTTAACGATAACTACATAACGTGGAATGTCTTACGGACAAAAATTTAATGAAAAGCACGTCGACTAAAGCTTTGTCTATTTATAAATTTAGCAGTAACACCAAATGTGTTTGCAATGATTGAAGCAGTGTTCGACATAACAAATCAATATTCAACTACTGCAAAATTTGATCGAACAAAATTCAATGAATAATTTTTGTTGATCAAGTCTGTAAATCATCGGGTAATGTTCGGTATACATAATAACTCGTTAACTAAATCCGATCGAATTTTACGATAACAAAAAATATTATTATTACTATAATAATAATAATAGTAATAGTAATAATAATAAAGACAACAAAACAAAAAGAACAAGGAAATGACAAATAAATCAAATTAAATGGGGTGCAATAAGTAATGAAGAGATATAATATACTATAAGATCTATTCGAATTTCATTTTGTTTTTTATTTCTTACTAATAATCTATATATTAGTTTATATTTCATATTTGAACATTATAAAAATTACACATTAAATACTATTTTTTGTCTAATAAATATATATGACGATGTAGAATGTTACTTTTCATAAAATAAATTTTTTCAAAAATAAAAGATTAACCAAATATATTTTAAGCTAAGTAAAAAATTAAAACATTATGGATTCTTAAGCAAATTGAAAATATAAAGGATTGGTATTTTTGTTTTTCATATACTAGCTGTGAGACCCATGAGTATATGGGTTAATTTAAAAAAAATATTAAATATAAAAGTCAAAATATTTGAGAACTTTGAATGTATAAGACAATAAAAAATTAATTATTATTATTGAATTTTTTTATCTTTTAAATTTAAACAAATAATTTAAATAAATTAAAAAAAAACTAATAATCTTTAATTTGAGAATTTTGAAATTAAAATATAACTTCATTAATTAAATTGATATCCCTTTATTACTATATTTATTGTAATTATTATATTAAAATATTATATGAAATTTAATAAAATAAAACTAATAAAATTACATCTGCAATATTTGACAAATTAAATAAGAATGTGATATTTCATAGGGATGTTCGTTTGGATGGATCGGTTCGATCCGATCCAATTAACTAAATCCAAATTGATTTCGGTTTTCAAAAAATGGATCAAAATAGTCCAAACTAAATTCAAATCCGATCCGATCCGATCCAATTACAATTCGGTTGGATCAGTTTTTATAATTCGGTTTTCAAAAACCATAACATTTTAAAACGACGTAGAATTATAATATGATCTAATTTTACAGAAGAAGCAAAAACAAATTATTTACTTGTGATTTAAATTTATACACACCCACTAAGAAGACATATTATAGTTTATTATTTAATAGATAAAATACTTTTGAGAGAAAGTACATACTAATGTCTTTTATTAGGTAAAAACCTTTTGAACTTATTTAAAAAAAATTATAAAATTAATCAATAATAATAGATATTTTGAAAATAAATACATAACAAATTGTTATTCGATTTTTTTGGACTATTCGGTTCTTATTTTATAAATCAAAACCAATCCGAAATTCAAAATAATAATTCGGTTTTGTTGAAAAGGAATCCAAAAATCCGAACCAAATAATTCAATCCAAATTGTCCAATTGGACAATTCGGTTTTATCCAAACAGTGAACAGCCCTAATATTGCGCGCACAAAAAAAAAAAAAAAAAAAAAAAAAAAAGAACTTCGTTTATTATAATAGATAAACACGCTAGCCTTGTATACAACATTCTACATTATTCACGGAGAGCTGAGGTAAATCGATGCGGGGTCTTATTTCTTACATATGTAAATATGACATAAGTAGCAAGCAGCTTCATCATGCCACTCCAGAAAAATCCCATTGATCGATGTCAAAGGTGTTGATAGAGCTCTGGAGAAAGCCGAGGAGTGATAATCACTTCAAGTGGCCTCACCTTAGTCAAGGCAATGCCCAAGCCCTCGCTCATATCCACAGGCTTCCCCATTGGTGTCGCCAAATCAAACCCCTGAAGCAACCGAGCAAGTGTCAAGTGAACTACTTCGAAAGCTAATGTGATTGCAGGACACACTCTCCTTCCAGTGCTGAAAGGAATGTATTCAAAGTTCTGACCCTGATAATTTATGTCCGAGTGTTCTTCTAGAAACCTCTCTGGTCGAAAATCATGAGGATCCGACCAAATTTGTGGGTCGCGATGTAGCTTCCATATGTTAACAATCAGACGAGTCCCTTTGGAGATATGATAACCCCCAATATAGCAGTCTTCAATGGCCTCATGAGGGGGTGCCAAGGGACCTGGTGGGTACATTCGGAGAGTTTCCTTCAGTATGGCTTGTAGATACCTTAGGTTTTTTATATCTGATTCTTCGACCCATTTCCGTTTTCCTGCAATCATATCAAGCTCCTTCTGGGCAGCTTTTAGGATGTGAGGGTTGTTCAGTAGTAAAGAGAGTGTCCACGTAAGTGTCAAAGCAGTGCTTTCTGAACCCCCGATCATGAGAACCTATGAAAATCATTTTAACCATAATATATATAAATTGCTTTCAAGTTTCAAGAGACGATTAAATGTAGAAATAGAGAGAGAGCAAAACATAGTTACGAACCATTGTTGTCGCCTTGATGATGGTTTCACGCCCATGGCCAAACATTTCAGCATCTTTTGACAGGGTTGAGAGCATCACATCCATGAAGTCGGCTTCTTTTTCACCATCACACTCTTTTCTCCTCTCAACATGTTCGTCAAGCCACTTTCCGATAACTCCATCAACCTCCTTTGCAACTTGCTTCATAGCTTTCACATACCCTCCAATATCCATCCATTCCAGATATGGAAAGAATTCAGACACAATAAAAACGCCCATAAGGTACAGCCCTTTCTTTATGGCTTCATGTACATGTAAGTCTTCGTTGTTACCTTCACTGCTACCCGTGATAGAAAATCTTTTCCCGGCTAAGATTTTAATAGTTATATTGAACGTTATGTTCTCAAACCACTTGCCCATGTCTATTACCGATGCTTCGTTTGCGTTCTTTTGGGAAAACAAGGAGAGCCCGTTAATGAAGTTTGTCACTTCTGAGCTACGAACATTCTTAAACTTTTCAAGACCATGACTTGTAAAGAGTTCCAAAGTGACCAGCTTTCGGATCTCTCGCCAATATGGTCCTGATTCCAGTGCAAAACCAGCTTTATTATAAACCATGTGCCGGCTGGTTGCCATGTTGGGCCTGGCTGCAAAATTTCGGTCATTGGTTGTAAAACATTCTTTGACCATCTGCCAACTGCTCACAACCAATGCTTGACGACTACCAAGCCGTAGAGTGTAAACGGGTCCGTATTCATCAGCAATTTTTCCAAGTACCCGTGCTAGAGGAGCTTGACCTCGTAGGAAATGAAGATGGCCGAGAAAAGGCAATGCCCCTGATGGTTCTGGAGCTACTAGTTTGATGCCTTTTCTTGTGTTGTTTCTTCTGCTTCTTTTGTAATGACATATTAGAACCAAAAGCAAAAGCCCTATAACTAGTAGAAATTGAGTAAAATCTTCCATGTTGATATGGTTTCGTATTTTGTTTTCTTACTTTGGAAGCATAACCAGAACTTCACATTTATAATGAATGACAGTCTAGACGGAAACAAAAATCTAGTGTTCACGTACTGATGACCTCATCACAATTTGATAAGGCTACATGATAGTTAGGCTTTGGTAGTTGTTTTGCCAATGGTAAAAATATGACACATAAGATAGGAGCCATGCCAGGATTTTATCATTCTTGCCACAATTTACCAATAAGAAGGGTATAGTGATATTTTTTAGCGTATGAAATAAAAATAAAAATTCTCATCGACGAATCAATAGTTAGATAGCATAATTTGCCATTGGTGGAATATTACCTATAAAATTTACCATCGGCAAAAAATAATATTAGGGAGTGGTGTTTACTGGCGGTAAAGCAAGCCACCGTCACCTTAACGCCGGCGTTTAAGTAGAACATCGTGAAGTCTTACACGGCTAAACTTGGTGAACAAGACTAAAGTCGATAAAGACATTCGTGTCTTTTGCATAGTTTAGAGACTTAAAAACCTGTATTTGTCACTCTATCTTTTTGGGTGTTCGATCCTATTAACATCAATCTCATTCCCAATCTAGTTCGCATCAAATGATAGCTTGTTATGATATGCATGTGTTATGCCGAATAAAAAGCAAATTTTACAATTACTCACTTACTTAGTGTGGCCCCAATTTAAAGAGTTTTTTATATTAAAAATGTTAGTGTATATATAGACTTTAGCTCATATTGTTATATTGTAGCTCATGTTATATTCCATTTATGTTTCTGCCCAATGGTTATTGTATTTGTATATATATACTCGTATTGTATCATTTGATGGGATAACGAGGATTCAACATTAATATGGTATCATAATTGTATCCCGAGAACTCACCATTCTATTTTCTCTTCTTTCTCTTGCTTAATTACGATGGTTTCCTCCTAAAGTTGTGACGCTACTTTCTCCCTCACTTTACCGACCTCTTCTTCTCATCTCACATCGTGACGGCTGATAACCAAAACAAAACTACATACAAAGCATTTGGGCACTATTAGGAAAATGTCTTTAATGGAATACATTGTGTGTCATTAAAGGGTACATATGGCATATCAAATACAAGGTTTGTTTTGGGTGGAAAATTAAAAGAATCCCTAAAATATCTTCCATGAATTGCAGTGGACTAGTATCGTCGAGAAACAATTTCAGTTTGCAATAATTTTTATCCTGGCAGCAAAATCCTGAAGCCTTGGTGGCATATTTGATCAGTTTGAATTGACTAAATGTGCATGTTTCATTCTCGGTTTACCATAAAATTTTTGTTTGGTCGCATTGCATTGATACACAAGTAGTGTATATATATATATATATATATATATATATATATATATATATATATATATATATATATATATATATATATATATTTGAAAAGTCAACATATATTAAAAGGAGCAAAAACAAATTACATGAGATTGATAGTTATTCTAGGAGATAAAATCTACAGACTCCTATCTATCTCCACTCTATTGGCCCTACTATCAATCCAAATGAAAGACTCCCTTTGGATTTTGACAAAATATCCTCTGCCTTCTTAGAACAATTCTTAAAAGTTGCCTTGTTTCGATTTCTCCACATACCACACAAGGTGGCTATCCCAATAGAAATCAAAGCCAATTTTTGTTCCTTATTATGTGCCTCAGTCTCCAACCAAGAAAAAGCGTCATCCACAATCTTCAACTCCTTATTATTGAGACCCCACCAATGCTTCACTTTTCCCCAAACCTTTACAGTCATCTCACATTCTAAAAAGGAATGAGAAATTGTTTCCTCTTTAGATTTACAGATGTCACAAGTGATAGGATTCTGATTCATACCCATCTTCTCCAGCCTCTCCTTCACGGCTATCCTCCTCAATGAAAGTCTCCAAATAAGTATGTTATGCTTTTTCGGAATCCATTTGCACCATCTGTTAATACCAATCCTCTGCTGAGTTTTTTTATTCAATTTCTTTTTTAGCCAACTCATCGAAAAACTCTCTTTAGGACCATCTGGACAAAACCAATTGTCATCTTTATTGGACAACGATATCGAGGAAAGAGCTTCCAACAGCCGATCAAATTCTTCTCTACTTCTACCTGCTCGAATATCTCCTCTCCACTCCCATATACCTCCTCTAGTATTTATTTTATCCTTCACTATACAGTTCTGATTAGCTTCCATGCTAAACAATCTAGGAAATTCTTGCTGCAAAGATCTTTCCCCTATCTACCAATCCAACCAGAAAAGCGTACTCTTCCAATTTCTAATTGGTTTTTGATAACCATTCTAGAATCAAGATCCCAAATATTCAATTGATTCCAATGTTGTACAATTCTGTTCCAAGTGTGACCGGATTTAAACCTATCACCATCTTCCATCCAATTATTATTACCATGAATGCTATTGATGATTGAAATCCATAAAGCATCATGCACTTTTCTATCTCTCTCTCTCTCTCTCTCTCTCTCTCTCTCTCTCTCTCTATATATATATATATATATATATATATATATATATATATATATATATATATATATATATATATATATATATATATAGGATTGAATGAGGACTTACAAATCGGTGAGGACTGCGAGGACAAATTTTAACTTTAATGTCAAAAAATGTATGTGTGCGATTATTTCGGAAATTTTGATTTTTTTTAACTAAACACACTATGGCCTTTTTGTGTGTAACATCCCAAAATCCCAATAAAAAATTTTCATTTTCAAAAAGGAAATTACATTCATAAATTGTTTCCAAAATCCATTACACAATAAATATGTTTATTAATCAGAGTAACAATATCAGTGAGTGCGGAAACAGTGGGGAGTGAATGTTGCGCCGTCAAGCTGGGCTCTTCCCTTTAATACCCGAAGTACCTGAAACCACAGTAAAAACTGTAAGCAATAGCTTTGTGAGTTTCCCACAATACCACATAACATACAAACACTTGCCATGGGCTACCCCCTTGGTCTAATATCCAAGTGTCACGGGCTACCCTCATGGTCATTCATGCCATGGGCTACCCCCATGGTCTTCCATACAAGTGCCTCTGGCTACCCCCGAGGTCTTTCATGCAAGTGCCTCGGGCTACCCCGAGGTCTTTCAGACAAACAAGCACATATAAAACTATCATTTCACATGTCAAGTAATGGGTCGACATTGGTGCATTCGACCCATTGATATAGTGAGAAGGGTCACCTCGGTCTGTTAATAAATACTAACTACTCGGCTACCGATCCAACAATCTCACACTAAATATACACAAATTACCCTAATTAGAATTAGGTCACAGACTCAAGACATAGGCCAAAACCCTAAGTCCAATTCCTAGAATATGCCCCATTTTACCCATTCCATAATGGGCCTAACCGTATTTGGCCCATCCATAATAACGGGCTCCATGGCCTAAAAGGCCTAAACCATGACACGCAAGGCCCATAGTAGAAAAATGGGCCCACCTATCCTAAACAGGACAAGGCCCATAACTAGTTAAGGCCCAAAAGTCTTTCTCCTTTAATGGGCCTAACTATCCCTGGTCCAAAAGCAATAACGGGCCATAAAGCCCAACAATGCCACCTAAGGTCCATTAGCAAGTTCAAAGGCCCAATCCAATGTAATAGATCAAGGCCCAAAAATTAAATAGGGCGCTAACTACTCAAAAGCCCAAAAGCTTACCGGGAGCGTATGCGAGGCGTAATCAATGAACGCGCAGCGTACAAGCCCGCCATGTAGTAGACTCGGCGTACTGCCCAGCTTCACCCAAACAACCATTTGGCTCTTAACCCATGCAGACAATCAACTCCAATACCCAAATCTCGATTAGAATAAGGGTCTTAGGTTATAAAGTTGGCAACTTTATGCCTTAACATGACTTATGAGAGCACAATATCCATTTTAGTTTATCAAAGCTCACTTAAATGTCCTAAACTCATGTCTGGCTTCAAACCCATCAAAAAGATTACATTTCTATGCTCCTAACATGCCAAAGGGACTAAGATCTAGCATTTCTAGCCTCTGGAGTTACCCAAACTCACAAAGGAGATTCCATGGACCCAAAATGACCTTAAAGCAAAGCCTAGCTCTAATAATCAAAAGAATTAGCAAGGTAGAAGCTTTTTACCTCCAAAAGCTTCCCAAGATGATGTAGACTCAGGATCTTGAAGCTCAACCACGTCCAAGGCTTGCTCACTAACTTCTTCTTCTTGCTAACACACCAAAAGGACCACTAATGTCACTTTTAAGTTCCAAGATCACACTCAATGGTAACTAGGGTTTTAGGGACGATCAAAGGCAGCGGAGGATAGTAAGGAAGAGGTTACAAGGTCATAAGTGAGCTTAAATAGGGCTCGAGCCTTATGATTAGGGTTTTAGTGGAAGGCCCCCTTGCCCCGACTTCGCATGCACATGTACGCTAAGCGTGCATGGACGTACACCCAACGTACGAAAAGGACCCCTTTTGCAATAAAATTTTATTCCAAGGACCAAAAGGGAACATACCTGAATCCGAGTGTTACAAATTTCCCCCACTTGAATTAGACTTCGTCCTCGAAGTCTGCCGTCGCGAAAAAATCTGGGTAGTGCTCTCTCATCTCGTCATCCGGCTCCTATGTCCACTCAGACCCCCTTCGGTGCTGCCATTGCACCTTCACCAGGTTCACGACCTTATTACACAGAGTCTTAGTCTTTCTTTCATGAATTGCAATGGGCTTATCCACGTAATTTATACGCTCATCTACCTGAGATACATGGAAATTATTGTGGATTTGACTGAGCTCATCAGGAAGATCCAACTGTTATGCAACCCTACCGACACACGCCTAAATCCTGAACGCACCAATAAATCGGGGACCTAGCTTGCCCTTTTTCCGAAATCGGATGACACCTTTCCACGGTCACACCTTCAGAAACACAAAGTTCCTCACCTGAAACTCGAGATTCGAATGACGTCGGTCAGCATAACACTTCTGACGACTCTACGCGACCCGCATCCTATCGCGTACCTGC